CGCAACTTGTTAATTGACAATATTATCGAATAGCACTAAAGTTAATAAAAATTAAATTTTTCAGTAAAGCACAACATATGTCGTCTCTCTAAAAGTCAATAGATTAACTATTTAAATTAAGATTATGAAAAGCTAAATAATGGAAGGATTTTTTTATGATGAAATTAATTTTAAAGCACAAGCAGAGCATTCAATCACAATTCAATCACCTAAACTTAATCTTCCTCATCCACAAAATAAATTAATTTCATTTAACTTTATTATTTTTATTTTATTATATATTTTTTAAATTATCATTCAAGATTACACAAGAAATTAAGTTATGAAGTAATTGAAATTTTTTTAACCTACAACTTAACAATTGTTCTAAATTAGCTGTACTAGAATCAAAGCATAAGTAATCATTCAAGTCAGGCTAAATTGCTCTTATAATGCTATATCAATTGATTATAGCATGCAAAGCCTCAGAAAAATTCATAAGTCAAAAATCACATAATAAAGCTACTCTGATTAACAATAGCAATTAGAATATAAAATTTAAAGGTAGAGAAAAGAAGAGCAAATTAAAATAAAGCTAAAATAAAATATTTTTTAAATATTTAATATTTTAATTAAAGTTTAGGATTATGATCTGTTGATCATATTAAAAAAATTAGCTTCCCAGGGTTTGGAACTTGTAAATCACAGCAGCTAAAAAGAAAATCGGCCTCACCATCTCTATTTCTCTCCTTCAATTAAGAAGTCATCCGTCCCCTTTTTGCGTCTTTAACTCTTTGTATATAAAAATTAATAATTTAATAAACAATAAAACTATTCTAAATAACCTAATTTAAAACTATACTAAATAACTCAAAATAAATACCAATAAAGTTTAAAAATTTGATTCTTGACTTAATTTTTTAGTATGCTCATATTCTTCTATCCAAAACAATCTTCATTAATATCTTTCAAATTCAATTCAAAAAATATGCATAAATAAAATAAAAAATGTGTAAAAATATCAAAGATATCATTTATATTTTAAAATCAAAGATTTAGATAGTTAAAACTTAAAAATTAAAGATTGGATAATAGGATCAAATAATATCTAATTAAACTCAGTTAGTCACAAATAAATATTTAAAAGTCTAAATTAAAAAGATAAAAATATAATTTTTTCATTTATCAATTAATCATCCAACTCCACTTGTTACATGTTTGTAACAACTCATTCAGTAATTGTCCTTGTTAATCTAATAGATGTACTTGTAAGTATGGTCTCCAATAGTGTAAATTATGATTACTATATTTCATCCACTTTGACACTTTACCAGCATATAGATAGACACGTTGCTTGTAAAATTAGTATAAACAAGCATTAAAATCTTTAATACCATTTGTCATTCACCAACCATAACTTTTTCATTCTTCCAAATCAAGTGAGGGTTTCAAAACACAAAATGAAGAAGCAACAATAAGAAAATGAAGGCATGCAATAACAAAGGGACAAATCACTAATCTTAAATGGTTCCATGAATAGGAAAAAATAACAATGCAGAGGCAAAATGAAAAATCTTAAACTTTTATTTACCAAGTTTTTTTTTTTCCTCTGCGAGCATCAAAACGATGAAAAAATGAGTTGCGAGATGCAAACCAAACAAAACACCACAATGTCCAACAATAGAGAAAGTCCCCATACTGAATGGTTTGCATCAATAGACGAAAAATTGAGAACAAACTTATTATCAAAAGGAAGTAAGATATTGGTGATTGAGTGTATTTGGAGAGAAGAAGACTCGGCTTTCGCACCTTTGTGCAGGTCCTCAATAGTGGAAGTTGAAATCACTAAAGATGAGAGTGAAAACATCAACCAAAATCTGGCCGAAGATGGGGATGGAAAAATAAAAGTGAAGACCTTGATGAAGATGAAGATGGAGAGGAGGCCTTGTTCTTTTTTCGGAAAAACGAAAACCTTATTCGCTCCTTTTCCATGATTAGACGCAAATTGAATGCTTTTTTTAATCTTTAAACTAAAAGTATTTTCATCTTTTAAAGTAAAATCTTTAAACCAAATTTAGGCCTTATTTTCGCTTTAATTTTAGAGAATTGAACCAAGGTTTTAGATTTTTTTAGAGACCCACTAATAATTAACTCTCTTCCCCAATCTTTTACTGAAATTCTCCCTTAATTCTGTAACAGAAATCACCAAAATCTTATTTTAGTGTAAGCAAACGGTTTGCATCGATAAAATCAAATATATTAAATTATAAATAACAGTGGAAATTGAAATTCTGTGTTAGCACACCAAAATAATGAAAACATATGTTATGCGTCCTACCTGACAATGAAAACTTTTAAATTGAAAACTTGTTTACCCTGACTAGTCAATAAAAAAAATCCTTCACTCACTCTATTAACCATTATGTTTTCCCCATCGATCAAGAGGTGTTTTCATTTAAACCGCCTACAGCCAATTATCAACACAATGGTAGGCGTCATTGCATGCGTACGAATTTAAAAAATATATTGTATTTAAGTTTTAGACAGAATAATGTACAGAAGTTCACTTTTCATGACCGTCGGCCGGCTGATGAGTTCCACAATATTAATTTTTTTCTTCTGATCAGGAACTAAACCCTATAATTCACACAACATATATATATATATATATATCTGTGTGTGTCCCTCCATATATACATACATATACATATATATAAATTAACAAAAAAATGCAAAAGAAATCTAGCCATATTCGGCTCTATTCAGAGGCATCAGTCTCCTTGTGTGTGTGTGTATTTAAATTATTTTAATTTAATATTGTATGTTACTCATTTGCATGCGCTTGTGAGCGTCTGTGCAAATAATCGAAAGTTGAAGCAAATAATATATATTGCAAATAATCTAAAGTTGAAACAAATAATATATATTGCATATAATTAAATGGAACTAGATCATCTCTGAATCTCATCATAAATTTAACGTGCCTGCACAAAATGAAGCAAACTTAAGAATTAACTAACTAGACGTGTCAGTTTTAACACATCTCAGCAAACACGAGTGGACAGTAAGTAAAAGCTACTGGGGGACTGCACCCTTTAGCATCAACGCATGTAAATAACAAGCTACAGAAAAATTCTTAAGGTTAATAATTAAAGTCATATTTGAACGGTGATAAAACGAGATTATTATAAATAAAAAAAATTATTAAACCGATCAAAACACTGGTTATCAAGTTAATAGAGTGAGTTGACTCAAATTTCTGTACTACAATTAAAAAAAAATACATATATGGTTCTTGCATACATATACTCGCCACAAAGGGAAAGCAGCAGAGAAATTGATTGAAATACAAAGACCAGCTGCGACTATATTAGATTTCATAACGAAAGATCTGATGAGTAGCTTAAAAAGAAAAAAAAAAAAAAGCTTTTGCACTCGAGGTTCTTATATTATGGAGAAAGCAACAAGTGAAAGCCAGGTGTCTCGGATTATATAAAATAACAAAGTATCCTATCAACTTTCACTTACAAATCGAGTACGATGCATGCTAACAGCATCAGTTTAATTATGCTGATTGAAAAATGAACTATATAAAGCTATATATGCTTTAATTGTACATTTCACATCCTACATGTATCAAGGGAGATTCTAAACTAACATCAGAAAAATAAACAACGGTTCTCGCAGTGACGAATGCAGAGGGGGGCAAGTGCCCCCCACAATTCCAATGTTCCTTCATTTTTTTTAGTTTTTTTAAAATTTTCTTTGCAAAAAATGCGAAAATTAGTTTTCCCCCCATATTTTTGATGGTTTTAAATCCCCTCCCCCAAATGTTGGCAAGTCTGGATTCGTCACAGGTTCTCGTAAAGCCTAAATTTACGATATACCTTAACGATTAGGAGGAGGAATATATCTCCAGTGTCTCGAAGTGGTAGTCTCAATACCTCCCACTAGAATCTCTTGGAAAGGAAATAATAAGGTTCGTTAACCTCGCAGGCACCTGTCATGTATCCTGTTGGGTATTTTCCTCTGAACAAATGGGGCTACAATGGATGCCTCTTCATGAATAGAGGAATTAATTGCCGAATTTTTTCCCCTTTTCAGCCAAAGCTAAGTAATCACAACAAGTCCAAGAAGGGGATGAACCTTACTATATATCCGTTCGCTGACTGGCTTGTCGGCCGCCGAATTGATTAAGATAACTTCACATCACTTCACACTACTGTCCTGCCTCCATACTTTCTTAGTTCACTCACACATTACCTCTCATTTTTTCACCCCGGTCGCGCGATGTCTATATTTCAGGCAGTCTCCCACATGTAAGATCAGAAGTTTTTCTAATTTACTTAGCTTGTTAAGGTGAACATCTAAGCGTACTTAACTCATAATCACAACTATATATTTCTCATGGATAACTTATCCATTAAATTAAAAGGCTGAATGAAATTATCACTAGATGATCTTACCAATGACCACCCAAGTGACAGTCCTCAAATAGAAGAAAAGTAAATTAATTTGATGGATCATATTATATAGATATATGATCATCCGGAAGAAAATTTGGATTTCGGAAGCACTCCTTCTAAACAGATGAGATTAATTAATTAGGATCACGACTAACTGTGAGTAGTGGGGGTTGAAGATTAAATACATAACTGTATGTCATTATTATATTTTCGGTTTCTTCCTGCAATGAAATGACAGCACAACTGCAAAAAAACATATTATCACAATCAACACGATCAAAGTTAGCAACAGCCAGCAGTTCGTGTTGATATTGATAAGCCAGAAAACTTTTCAGTTCTGAAACAAAATCATGTTATCATTAAGCTCGAGTTCTATCATCATTTCTCCATACATATATAAATATATTTGGAGGGGGACAGGGTAGCAAGTAAAAGTGAAACTGGCGGAGACAAAGGAAATAGAAAAAGAGAACCAATTGGCGGGCAGATCGATATGCGTGAAGTTAAAAACTGAACATCGCCATTCAGTTAAACAGGAAATGCAAAGACATGACGAGACATGAAGGACTATCGACTTGACATTAATTAAACTGGTTTCAAATATACAAAAATAGCAAAAATAAGAAATGTGAAAGACGCAAAATATTAATCTCCACCATGTCCAAGATTGACAAAGAGATGATGGTATTGAAGTACATAGAAGTATATATGAATAATAACGACACATATTCCTTTTGTTGCTAGCAAAGGATACGAAGCCCAAGCTCCATGCACATTCACTCTCAGACTCTAAATAGTAAATACCATTTTGAGTACCCCCACGCGAACTAGCAGTCTACTACTACTGTTTGCCTCAAAAGCAGATTCATGATATCACAGATGATCTTTAACCCTTTTGCTTCTGCCAGAGGAAACATCATACAAAGACAAACAGTGCCTATGCCCAGAGACAGAGGCGGGGGGAGAGAGAGAGAGTGGGGAAAAGTACTGAAGAAGAAGATGGAATTAAGAGAGATAGAGCACAGAGGCAGAGTATTGGGTTGAATTAAACAAGTTAATGGATTACTGATGAGTTGCACCTGGAGGTAGAAACACAGATGATTGCTGCTGCTGCTGCTGCTGCTGTGGAGGAGGAAGGCGCTTTCGCTTCTTCTTCTCATAGCTAATCCCTCTCGCTTTGGACTGCAGATCGCGAACCTCGCGCAGGTACAGCCTCACAGCCCGAGCTCCGAACGGGTTCGCTTCCGGCTTGCCTCCATTCTCTTCGAAAGCCGCTCGCAGCCGACCAATAAGCGCATCCAGACTGCCCCACGCTTGCCGAAGAGGGCACGGACATGGAGCCGGAGGGTTAGGGTGCCCGTAAAACGGACACATCGGTGTGTGCACTTTGGTCTTACCAAATTGGTCCAGGTACCTACCAACATACACACCAATTAGCCATGCCATCCAACACGCGATTATTAATTCCTCTAAAACTTCTAATGTATTAAAAAGGGGTCGCATCCACGAGGTGGTAATTATAGCGTATGTCGGCATATAAAAGTATATTATATATCTACCTTAGAAATTCAAGTACGTGTGCACCGCTGCATCTGGAAAGTGAGAGTGGGGGGCGATGATTCCTGAGGTACTGACCGAAGGTATTCCAGTCGCGGCGCTTCTGGTTCTCGTAGCGGCTGCTGCTGCTGCTGGAGTTGGTGGAAGAGGTGGTGGCGCTGGCGGCGGAGGCGGCTTGTTTGTTTTCGGAGTGACAAGAAGCGTCCATAAATTGTTGGAGGGAGTCCATGGGAAACTTGAGGGCTTGGGTTTGGAGATCGAAGGTGGTGATGGAGGGATCGCCTTCTCGTCTCTTGGCTTCAATGAAGTTCATCTATCCGAGTAGTTGTTCCAGCCTTTAGGTTTCCTGATGAGTACACACTCACTATACCTCCAGATCGACAGAGAACTGGAGGGGAGAGTGTGGGAATTGCAAATTAGTATTCATCTTAGAATATATGGCTATCTAACACTATGACCTCATAATTTGGGGCAACAATTCGTGAGAGCACCCAAGCTGATATACAGAGAGTGAAACCCACCCCCCCCCAAAAAAAAACACACACACACACACTCTTTCAGGATTTACCGTTAAATGAAATCAACAACCTTGGGAAAAAGAGAGAGAAAAGAAACATGGGAAGAAAGTAAAGAGGAGATGAGTAATTGATTACATACAATTTGTCGAAGAAAGAGAGAGAGGTGGAGATATGGAGGAGCAGAAGAAGGGGAAGGAAAAGAAGATTAAGGAAGTGTGACGAGATTGATGGGATCAGAGTGAGTGGACTGCTCTCCTTTATTTTCTCTTTGCTGCATGACGAGGAAGCTCCTGAGGTTGAGGCAGCACACTTGCGTGGCTCTTTTGGTAGCTTTGATTTCTGAGATGGCCAATGGATTTGATTTTTTCCTTAAAAGGGTGGAGCAAACCCTCCACTCTCACTCCTCCATCCTTCTTATTATTCTTCCTCGGTTCCTCCTCCTGGTAGAGAGAGAAAGATAGGGGACGCTTAGGGCTTTTGTGGCAAGGTCGAGACTCGAGATAGACCAGAACCAGAGAAAGTGCTATTTCTTTTTATTCTTAGTTATATTTCCCACTTGCTGTTATTTTTTCTTTTTGGTTTAAAATAGCATATTTTACTCTACTTGTTCTGGAGATAAAAACAAATATTTGATTTAAAGAGACATCAGCGTCATGGTTTTGTTTTTTCTTAAAAAATAGAAGAAAATGTGAGATCCAGATATATATATATATGCGATTAGCATTTCCCGACAGGAATAAAGGTTGGAGGGTAAAATTAAGGGAGTAACATGATCCTGCTTCTTGACCATGTAGTATTGAATGACAGTTCTTTTCTCACGGTCCAGAATGTCCCTGTTCGTTTTCCTTTTTTTTTTTTTGTCTCCCTCTTCTTTTCTCCCTTTAATGAAAAGATCATGCTTTATTTTCTCGAACGCCACTCTTGTTTATCTCCACACACCTCATCGAGAGAGAGATATATATATATATATATTATTGGATTTAGCGACCATTTTTAAGTTTACATATTAGCACGGTAATTTTTTGCCCAGCAAATTTCACATCACGACACTGTGTTCTGATCTTTTCCAGATCACTTTAAACAATGTATGTTTACTGTTCTTGACTCGAATGGAAGTACGTCAGATTATTATATTTGATGCATGGCTCAATACAGGCTCTTTGCTTGTAACCTGATATAATTACTTGCTAAAGGTAAAATTTTTCTTGTCAAATTAATCATCGTTTATTTCGTACGTACATTTAATGATCGGACCAACAATTTCATAATGCCGTCCATAAAGCTATCAATTAACAGCAGCTCTCAAGAGCTCAAGACTTAAACAGGCTACCCTGATTAATCTAATCATGTGTCATAGTTCCATTATGTAAGATCCGGTCCTAGCTTTTAGGGCAAAAGGTTGGCCTTGCAGGCATCGGTTCTTTTTTTAAATTTTTTTAATTTAAAATTTTTTAAAAAATATGTGTATCATTATAAAACAATTATTATACATTTAATTAAATATATAAAAATAAATTTAAATTAATTAATGCTGTAAAGAACATGTAAAACTTAAATATTAAGTAGCAACATTTAAATAAATAATAATAAAAATTAAATTTTACTAGCATCATCAGCAAAATCTTAATACTAGTAAAATCTAATTTTTATTGGTATTTATTTTGTTAGATTTTTAGTTTTTTAGTTTTTTATTGTTTATATTTAAATTTTTAAAAAATAATAATAAAAGAACTTTAAAGAGGCAACTCAGCTCTTTTAAATTCAAATTATTATAAAAGGATTGGTTAAATTGGCTCAATTTTAATTGACAACTTTAGTCTCAATTCAATGAAAAAGACAAATTGGAGCACTAATGTATTGGGGCGCAAGATAATTTTGAACTTTTGAGCATGATAAGCCTAAATTGATCATTGCAGTATCATGGACAAATTCCGGACAGCTTTTCGATTTCAAAATAGGATTAGAATGGCGAAGATATGAAGCTATTTTCACGCCGAAGGACAATACTCTGTATATGATATATATTATGTATCACTAACTATACTCAATATCATATAAATTTCTAGATATACATAGCTGTGCCTAACTGAATATACGAGGAGTATTTCAATTGGAAAAAAAAAAAAACTGTGCCGTGTTATGAATTCGATTTTTTGTACGGCGGTTGCGTGACTATAAAGAAATTAGTATTTCGTTTTCCAAGTTTAACATCGAAGGAAATAGAGAGATGTTAAAATTTCAAGGAAAACTCCAAGTACATTCATAATCATGGTGGGCAATAAAATCTGTTTCTGGGGGAAAATCTAAAAGAGCTTCTTCTCCAGACTTTCGTTATCGGGCATGGTCAATGCGCGTGCTTATGCAATTAATATCGGTACGTAATTTCTTTTTCTAGAAGCAATAATACAGCGAGAACTGGAAATAAATTAAACGCATAGAGTATAAATTTCAATTAATCTTGCGTGAGGTTACTATATATAGTGAATGGAATGGATGTGAAGCGCGTGAGTTTGATTCAAACTGTGGAACTGGAAATGATGGATTCAAACGATGCCAGAATATAATAAGCCATTAACGCATGTTATAGGGAGGTAACATTTTTGCATATATAATTGTACGTGAAAGCAGGGCAAGAGAGAGATTGACAAGACGGATTCAGTGCCAGTACATGAACCTTGTGTTGGGTTGAATAATTGAATGCCGGAGAAGGAAATTTTTGTCGCCGATTAGTTTTTAATTATTGTTGGGTTGTCTGTCACAGTATAAATCTTGAACTGTCATCTTCTGATCCAACCCCTATCCCTCTCACTTGTAAATCGTACTAGATTCCATTTACTGTGCTATTAATATAATTCAAATTATTAATTTCCAATAAGGGATCGCATCCCTACTTAATCCCATAATGCTGATTTGTTTCCATTAATTAATTATCTTCCGGTCCCATTCAAATCTCACCGATGTTCATCGTGATAGGGGGAAAAAAGGGGGAAATCAAAATATCAAAATATGACTCTCGATACTTATACTTCATTTTCATATGAATTGTTAATTATTTATTATGTACAGGGACACCTCATTTTTGAGCCAGCAGCCACTCTAACTGCAGCTGGCCAACTATGGACCGTTCTAGGTATAGCATAGAATCTAAACACAGGGAAGTCTTTTGAGCTTTCAATCAAAGCAAGTGCGACCATATTTGCAAACAATCCTTAATGAAATGTCCATAGGACATTTTACCATTTGCTACGTCAAAAAAACAAGCAATTAATTTCACCAAACGCATGTTTAAATTCTGACCAACGCAATTAATTATTTTCAAGTTTATTGATGACTGAGTTTAGGAGAAAGACAGCAATTTGTTCAACACAACCAGAGATAAAAATATAACTGAAAATATGGTATTTCACGGGCGGAAAGATTAATATAATGCGCGTATGCATGCCATATTTTAGGTTTTTTTTTTTTTTTTGGTGGGTTTAAGAGAGAATGACATTCTGAGCAGAATTTAAAACTAGACGTTGGAAGGAAATGAGTTTGGATTGTGAATCCACAGGTGGGGCCGGATATTTGTTTGGCAGCCAAGGGTCCGAAAAGGCCATCAAATCAATGCGTAGATCTAGGCATGCAGAGAAGGCCCCCTCTCACATCCATCATCCACCGCTTTGCATCTGAGTGCACTACAGGAAAACTGCTAAAAAACACACTAACATTGTCCGATCATCTTTATAAATTGTTGCTACTAATTTTATTAATACTAATATAAAAAATTTAAGAAACAAAAC